AAATTTTTCTCGTCGCTACCCGGATTCGAACCCGGGATCTTTGAATGAGAGGCCAACACCTTAACCTCTAGGTCACGAGAGCCCCCTGGCTACTTGTGTATTAACTAAAATTCTACAAACCTATTAAAAGACAAAAGACGTTTTGGCATTTTATCTGTGTCTCTTGGCTTTCTCTTTCGTGATAAACGGTTTTCTCTTCCAGGAAAGAATCAGCATTCTAGTTAAAGTACTTAAAGCATCCAAATTAAGATCTAACCTTTATTTTAAGATGTTGGGAAGCTTCAAAAGTCTACACGCACTGACAAAACTTCTGACAATATGAGTACTTGTGTTTGTTCGTACTTTCCCCATGTTTGTGTGTACGGGTGCCTTTGCCTGTCAATGTTATTTCGTCTAAGAATTTTGTGTGTTATATAATAAAGCTGTTTTTCTCGGGAAAAAAGCACATGTGGAGCTGGGTATGAGGCGCATATGAAGATTATAGAGGCAGGAGACGGGAAATGAAAATAGCCCATTAATGTTGCACATCATTGTGTAGAGGACATCAACATTTTTAATATCCCCATAAGTTTGCTCGCTTTATGTCCTGCAATAACATGGCATGGAGTGTTTTGATTGCGTTGAAATATTATATATGTTTCTTTTTAAAAAATCCCATTACAAAATGTGATAAGTAATCAGTATTTCAACGGCGTCATCGCTGATAAATTTTTTTCCTGATCACTGTTTTTAGCTTGTTGGGACTGTTTTCTGTAGCTATTGTGAAAAGTTGTATTTTTAGTGAAATGGGTTTGACTTGAGATTCGTCAATATAGTTCAGTCCCAGAGATCGTCAACATAGTTCAGTTCCAGAGATAATGCAAAGGTTGTACACATTGATAATACAATATAAGCGTGAACATGTTCATCCTTTGATGAATTGTTTCTTTTGCTTTTTTAACGTTTAGATTTAGACTGCTTCTGCTAAAGCTTGCCAATTTCTTGAACCGACACATACGCCAACCAACGAGTGAAAACCTATAGTTTCAAAGTACCAATAGCAAAACACGTCATATGAAAGGATTTCAGAGCCATTCTCGAGATTCAAAGCATTTTTGGAGGACAGTTTGATAATGCACCTCAGTCCAAGAGGGAAAGCGGCCCACACACGCGTGGGCCAGTGGACGCAACCAAGCAAAGCACTTTGCCTTAAGCTTTGGCCTGGGGCTATCACCATTTCGTCTGGTTATTCATACTGTTGGTACACAATGTAGAGTTCTTTATGCAGAATTTTTATTCAGGCCTAACATCAAATCGGCATTGTTTTTCATATCAAATTTATGGCAAATATGACACTGACAACTAATTATAAATCATATAGGATTTAAACTATTAAAAAGGAGAATTGTTTTTTTTTAAAAACCAAACTGCTCTCTGCTACCTTTGGCTGATGGAAAACACACATGTATTTCGCGCAGCCTAAATTTTTCGAGCACGGCCTCATAATATTAGCTACAGAGGCAGAGATTTTCGACGGTGTTGGAGGCTTGGGGCTAGACCCAGGGTCAAATCCCTGAGTGTGTTGGACCCCTTAGCATTGTCTGTTTGAAAGCCTCATTTCAACGAGACGGATGGTTTGTAACAGCACCATAACTATAATACCCCCCCTCCCCCAAACCTCTCCCTACCTTTACTGAGAATAATAACCCCATATGCATTCCTTTTGTTCTAATTGGAAATGGAAATGTCAAAACTTTTTTGCCGTGCCGATTTGGTATGAGTAGAGATTTTACAGTATCTACATTTTTTGACAGATTATTGTCTCGTTTAGTCATAACTGCTCGTCTTTGTCTACTCCTTTATGTAGAAGTGATTTGTTTTCTTATAATTTAGTTTCTTAATTCATTACCCGACCCTCACTTTACCTTTACTTGATTCTCCCATATCCCATTTTTGTTCTGAATGTTACAATTTTAGATATCATGATAATATTTGAAAGTATTAACACCGTAACCGCTGTCTTTCAAGAGTTCCTTAAACCTGTCACTGTATTTTTTACCCTACAAATACAATCTCGACACAGTTATGTAAAACATATTTTCTTTGTTCATTTAAAGAGAGATAGTCTGGGATAAATATTGTGCAATGACACATTTTTCAAGCATGTTTCGAATAGCAATTAAGGTTATAGCCTTTCCTATTGGGTACAGTTTATTTGACCCACTTAACTAGATGCTTGTTTCAGTTCTTGCTCTTAACTCTCATCATCATCACTAGCCTGTTTCCCTCCATGCCAACGCGTAAGCTACCAAAAAAGGAACTTCCCATGCACTTCTGTCATGGGCTATTGTCCTTACTTCTTCAGCTCGACGGTTTAGTTCAAGAAACCTGTATACCACTTTTGTCTAAAAATCGATTTTTTTCCCCTTTCTCGTGGCTGAATTGCTACCTCAGAATTAAAAAGTTCTATCTGACATTTTTGGCTGTTTTGAGTTACTAAGAGCATGAGGTCAGAAACCAAATGTTCTATCTGCTGCTTCAAAATCGAACTATTATTCGGAGTCGCTATCAAGCTATTCAAAGAAGAGCATTTGAAAAAGTTTGACATGATGTGAACTGGAACTGTCACATTTCTCAAAACTTGATAGTGAGCAGATAGAACTTTGTAATACTGAGGTAGCGACATTATATCTTTTCGATGTGGAAAACATATGTACCGTCCCATACTCACATCAAATAGACGTGTGCAAGGAGAAACATCTACGGTCGTGGAAAAGCAACAACAACAAAAAAAAAAAAGAAAAAATTAAAAAAACAAACCAAAGCTATTTTTTAAAGAAAAAAATGTGGCATACGGGTTTCTTGAGTAAACTGCTGAGTTGTATCTCTTATCTTCTTTAGATCCGACTTTAAGTCCCTCCTCCACGTACTTTTAGGGCTTTGTGTTTTTCTCTGTTCTCTCTTTTTTCTCTCTTTTTTTGAGGATTCTATCTTAGTGCTTGGTGGGTAGTGCCTGTTTTGGGCTTATGAGGATGTGTGTTATCCACTTCCATTCTATCTTTCTGATTTCTCTATCTATTTTCTGAAGGTTTGGTTGCTCCCATAGATGCTCATTTCTCTTTTTTTTTTCAATAAAGCTGTATGTAAACAAACCCAGTAAACTCCTTTTTTATGACTGATAGCCACATGGTCACAAGAGTATCGCACATGTTAAAATGTGGCTTTAACTCTCAAGACCCAAGCCCCCCCCCCCCGCACATTGACTTACGAAAAACGCACCTCATTTATTTTAATTAATGCTGAAACAAGATTAAAGAAACAATACCCCCGCGCACATAATAACTGAGGGTTGCTCTTTAAAAAAATTAGGAGAACTTTACAGATAGGAGATCAAGAAAGTAAATTTTTGTCCCCAACCCCCTACCTTCCACCCTATTTACCCCACGTGCAAACGTACAGTCACCTTAACCTAAGACCCCGCTCCCTCCACCTCCCCCCATTCACTCTGCAGAAATGAAATTAAATTATATAAAAAACGCACACGCACTCATTTACTGCCAAATTATTCCCACATTATAGCCACATCTCGCACACACACACACACACACACACACACACACACACACACACACACACACACACACAAACACACACACACAAACACACACCTACGTGTGTACACCAATTACACTCACTTCACACCTAAACCAGGCTCATATCAACCCCTACTTCAAATGAAAACCAGTATCCACATCACACCTATACCCAATCACATACATCACACCCACTAAATACCTAGAC